TTGGGAGGCGCTTTTCCTCACAAGCATGGCTTAGCCATGTCAGCCAATAGTTCATGGTTCTCAGCCATAGTAACTTTGGTGAATTCCAGAGACATGATGCATTTAAAGGCAGTCAAAATTACTTACACTGCTCAGGGTCCAGAAGTACCCCCAAGCTCTGGATCTTGTCCTGTGGGGGAGTGCAACCCCATCCAGGGCATGGCAAATATCCTCCATCAGGACATGGGACCCACCTATCAGCAGCACCTCCATCTTGTCTGCATTAAGTTTCAATTTGTTGGCCTTCATCCACCCCATCACTCCAGGCAAACATCGGTTTAGAACCATCACCACCTCACCTGGACTAGAGGAGGAGAGGTAGAGCTGAGTGTCATCAGTGTACTGATGATTCAACCCAAACCTCCTGATGACCTCTCCCAATGATTTCATGTAGATGTTGAACGGCATGGGAGATAAAATGGAGTCCTGAAGTATTCCATGACATAATTGCCATGGCACAGAGCTCCACTCCCCAAGTGCCACCATCTGGAATCGGTCAGCCAGGTACGAGTGGCTGCAAAGCAGTGCCCCAACTCCCAACCCAGCCAGTCTATCCAGAAGAATACCATGGTCAATGATATTGAGTGCCACTGAGAGGTCCAGGAGAATAGGGATGCACTCCCTCTGTCTTTCTCCCAACAGAGGTCATTCTGCAGGGTGACTAAGGCAGTTTCTGTTCCAAAACCAGGCCTGAAGCAGGACCGAAATGAGTTCTGATACTTGATTTCTTCCCAGGGTAGCTGGAGTTGTCCAGCCACCACCTGCTTTAGCACCTTGCCCAAAAAGGAAACATTGGCCACTGGCCTAAAGTTAACATCTTCTGGATTCAAGTTTGGGTTCCACATGATCTTCCTTAGGGCCAACATGAAGGTGGCCACAGACCACTTGGAACAGCTTGGGTGGCATTCAGAAGACACAGTGCTGGCAGAGAAGCTAGCTCTCTTTGCTACCTTCAAGTAGGCTCGATAATAAGCTCTCTGATCAGATTCTGCACAGGTTTTCCTCCATCTGTGCTCTACTCTTCTTCCCTCTTGCTTCATTGCCTGTTGATCAGTAGTATACCATGGAATCAAACTTATACCATGGATTGCATTTAGGTGCAATCGTGTCAACTGCCAGGGCCACTCCTGCATTCCACAGAGCAACCTGGGCTTTGACAGGAGCACCAACCATATCAACTGGAAAATCCCCCAGGGCCTTCTGGAAATCATCCAGACTCATGTGGTATCTTAAAGGATAGGGGAGGAGACAATCTCATACTACCAGCCACGTAATTGCTAAAAATGTGTAAAAGGATAAGATTCCTTTTTCCTACTAGCAATGCTTGCCACCCTAATTGAGCTGAGCCTCATTTCTCATTTATAGGTCATTTCATGCAAATATAGTAATGTGACTTCATGTCTGCAGACTGAAAAAGCAGTCCAGAGACTTTTGTATTGGAACAGCATAGAAAAACTTTAAATCAATCAATCAATAGTGCTGATTTTTTTTTTTTTTTTTTGCTTCCTGTAAGCTTTCTGGGGTCTGGAGTTAGGGCTTGCGTGCAGATTTTGTACCAGCTTTATGTCTCCCCTCAAGCATTTAAAGCCCTGCAGCTATACACAATCCCCTAATACAGTGACAGTGATTAACCTCAGCTGGTGAATCTGGCTTGGAGATTCATAAACATGACTGATTAAATATCTCCTAACAAACATTTGTGGTTGTCAGCAGATGTCTTCCACTTCCTGTTTCAGACTCTCAGCCCAGTGTGTTTTCAGGGCCAAGCTCTGTTTCTTCACGTTCATACAGTCTCCAAACAAAAGCATGTAATAATTTGCTCATTTTGTGAAAACACACTGAAACTAGGTATGAATTTTTAAATATATTAGCCATGTAGGTAATCTAATTATTTTAAGGTACTGTCCCTATTTGTAATCCAAATACTGTAACCAAGCGACAGCAAAGAAACTGAAATTTGATGCTAAAGTGTGAAATTGGCTATAGAGTGCAGAGATTAGTGACAGTCCCAGAATCCCAACAGTTTGCAAAAAGCCTTCTTCTACCCCCACCTTGCTTTCAGCAGCCATTCTGTCCGTTCCTGCAGCATCAGAACTGAGGGCAAACCTCAAGGTACACACTATCCTCTACAGCAGGGGTCTCACTTACCTGGGGGCCGCTGGAAGTAGAGGCTGGGTGAGGCTGGGCCGCATCAAGTATTCCACAAAAAAAGGATTTCAAGTATTCCAAAAAAAAGTACAACTGATCCAATCTTCTCAATCTTTACTAATAAAAATTCAGAACATAAACAGTTCTTCAGAACATAGGCTTCTCTTACTTCCTCCTACTCCTTGCTGCCAGAGACCTGACAGCGCTTCCTCTTACACAGCTGAGCCACATTTGGCTTGAGGGAGAAAGCAACTGAGACCCTCAGTATGGCTTGAAGATGCTCATCAATAAGTTTGGACCTGAACTTTGACTTATTAAAGTTCATGGTGGAAAAGAGCTTTTCACACAGATAGGTGCTCCTAAAAAGGCACATGGTCTGCTTGAACATCCTGGAAAGCTCAGGGAAGGTAAGGGGCAATTCTCTCAAAAATTGTCCAAGCTTGTCTGCTTTTCCACTCACCTCCCTGAACTTGGCTTTGAGTTCAGAATTGCACTGCAGGTCAATTAGCTCCATTTGAAGCACGGGGGGGGGTGGGGCATCTTCCACATCGAAGAAGGGGTCAGCAAAAATTTGAAAAGTGGCTCTGTGTGTCTTGAAATCTGCAAACCTGTGATCAAATTCTTCCTGCAGCTTTACAATGGCATCAGCATACTTCTCATCGCTGAATGGTATGCCAGAATCTATGAGTGCCTTGCATGCTGGGAAATGGCAGAGGTTTGTCTGAGAAAGCTGGGCTTTCCATAACACAAGTTTTGTGGAGAATGCTCTGACATTGTCATAGGCAGCACTGACAAGCTGCCCCTGGCTTTGTAATTTCTTGTTCAGTACATTCAGTTCCTGTGTGATGTCAACAAGAAAAGCTAAGTCCATGAGCCATTTGGGATCACTTAGTACAGGAACAGCCATCCCATCTTTCTCCTTGAAGGTTTTCACCTCTGCTCTCAACTCAAAAAACCTCTTCAAGACGTTTCCCCTGCTAAGCCAACATACCTCGGTGTAGTAGAGCACATCCTCATATGCTGACTTTATTTCCTCTAAAAAGGCGCGGAACTACTGGTGCTTTAAGCCCCTGGATCTGATATGGTTGATGCATTTCACAATGTCAAACATCACATTGTCATACTTCAGGCATTTGCTGCAAAGGGCCTGCTGATGGATAATGTAGTGCAGAGCAAGGGCCTCTTCCACAGCCTCTTCTTCCAATTTTCTTTGAACAAGTGCCACGACTCCATTTCTCCTCCCTATCATTGATGGCACTCCGTCGGTTATTATTCCAGCAAAACTCTTCCATAGTAAGCCGGCATCTGCAATGGCATCACACAGCTGGCGGAATATCTCCTGAGCGGTGGTCTGGCCATGCATTGGAATCACTGTGAGTAACTCCTCCATCACTTCAAAATTGTCGTCAACACCACAGACATATATTGCAAGCTGCGCAGTGTCAGTGACGTCTGTGCTCTCATCAAGAGCGACTGAGTATGCATGAAAATGTTTAGCTTTCTCACACAGTTGATCGTAAATGTTACCTGACAGGTCAGAAATGCGCTCTGCCACTGTGTTGGCTGAGAGGCTGATGTTGCTAAACTGACCCTTTTTTTCTGGAAAGACTATACTTGCAGCCTGTAACATGCACTTTTTGATGAACTCGCCATCTTTAAATGGCTTTCCTGCCTTAGCGATCATCTCACTCACTACGTAGCTGGCTTCGACTGCCGCATCACTCTCTTTGCTTGCTTTCTTGAAAAAATCTTGTTGCGTCAGTAAACATGTTTTAAGTTTGGCGACACGGTCCTCTCTCTCATCTCCCTGGTATTTTGCATACTCTTCAGCATGTCTAGTTGAGTAATGACGTCTGATGTTGTACTCCTTGTGCACCGCAACTTTCTCTGTGCATATAAGACACGTTGGGATGCCCCTGTGCTCAACAAAAAAAATATTCCATCTCCCACTTCTCCTGAAATTGTCTGTGCTCATCGCCAACCTTTCTCTTCACAGCAGGTTTTGAGAAAGAGGCTTCGGCGAATGGGGCGGCATAGAAGTCTCCTAAATAAATAAATAAAAGACATGACTGGGGCTGGGTGACAAAAAAAATGTATCTGCACTGGGTGACAGGATATATTTTCCCTTCACTCGGTGACACTCCCGAATCACGTTTCAAGTGACTAACGTTGTTAATTTGCGTTGCTGTCACGATCCTGAGCTATGGTAGCCCACAGGTGACAAAAAATATAAAACGCCCAGGCAATGTTCCCTCTAAGCTGCGTGCCAGGCCAGGCAGGACACGGGGGAGGGGCCCTGCGGCCTTCAAAGCACCGGTGGCGCTTGGGCCGGCCTCCGGGAGTGACGCGGGATGAGCAGCCCACCACAGCTGTGGTGGTCGGCCTTGGGCGGCAGTGGTGGTGGTGGGCCGCTCACCCCACGTCGCTCCCGGAGGCTGGCCTGGGCGCCGCCACGCTTTGAAGGCTGCAGGGCCCCTCCCCCCTGCCCTGCCCATCCCAGCGCGCAGCTTAGAGGGAACATTGTGCCCAGGGTAACGACTCACGCAGGTGCGTGTGAGAAAAACGCACGGGCCGCACTATCACTAAACTTTGATATCAAGTGGGGGCCACAAAATATCATCCCACGGGCCGAAATTGGCCCGGGGGCCACGAGTTTGAGACCCCTGCTCTACAGTCATTTTCTTGGTTCATAGCCCTGTTCCCAATACTAGTATCTGAAAGAAACAGGAACAGATGGAAACAACACAATGGTTCTAGGAATTCAAACTTTATAGGGTGAATCAAATGAGAGAAAAAATTTATTGACAGGAAAATTATAACTGCTTTGAATGAAATTACAATTAGATAATGACAAGAGTGAACTGCCCCCCCAAGTGTCAGCTGAGAGTGTTCAATCAAAAAAGCATTTACAGTTTATTCAGACATACAGGAAATACATATGGCATGTAGGTAGGCCCCAAAAGGACTGCCAAGAGAGATTTTAATAACCTATGGGTTACATACACAGTTTGGGGGAGGTGGGGTACACAGGTGGGGGGAACATTGGGGTAAACAATAGGGGTTAAGACAATGCAAATAGAACCTTCAGCAAAGGCAAACGATTAGCATATCTAAGGTGTGCCCACCCCCACTGAAGACCTTTCAGGACAGACCTTTAGCATTTCTAGGCCATAAGTGAGAAGCAAAACTTGCAACATGGATTCCACAATCAGATCTGGAATCCCATCCTAAGTCTAAAGCTGTTCTTAATGTCAGGCTTTCAGCAACAATATTATTCCTTCCCTTCACTAAAAATAATGCTCAAAGTGATTAAAAAAAATAGCCGGTTTCTCCTTCTTCCTCGCTAAAATTATTAGATTGCATTTATATCCAGCTTTTTTTTTCCCTTGTGAGAAATGCAGGATAGCTTACATAGTTCCATTTTATTCTCACAACAACTCTGTGACACATTGGGCTGAAAGTGCATGACTTGTTCAAAGTCACCCTGTGGGTTTCATGGCCGAGTGGACACTAGAATCTGGATCTCCGGGATCCCCAGTCCAGCACTCTAACCACCGCACCACACCAGCTCTCCTAATTATCCTAATTCAGTGTAAGGAGAGAACAGCAAGCAGGCGGAGACAAAGACTGCAAGGATTTGATGGCGTTGGCAGTCTGATGGGGAGCAGTGAACTTTGGGGCAATTGTTGGGACATTCAGTGCTTAGACCTCATATAAACAGAACCTGTATGTGTGTAAATAAATGAAAGTATTACAAAATACCAGAAGCCTCCCATGACTTCCTTCCACAGAAAACCAATCCCGGGTTATGTGTTGTATTCCCTGAGACCTCTGAAGAATGAGATGAGTGAGCTGAGTGTCACAGTATGTATTCATCCTCTTGCTCCATTTCCACATCCATCTCCACATCCCCAGATGGCCGTCTGCCATCCAAAGTTTCCTCCTCTCCTGCATCAGGACCAGCCTGTATGGCACGACCAATTTCAGAGTCATACCATGATTTCCAGTTCATTTTGATTCTTGAGAGGATCGATGTCATCAAATAGCCAAATTCAATTATGCTGTGCCGTTTGCCTTTGTCTCCATAAAGGTAACCAGCAGCATGCATTGCAACAAGATGCCCATTTGCGTCAAACACAGGGGAACCTGAGGACCCACCATAGAAAGAGGTATCATAGGTGACCACATGAGGATTATTTCTGATCTCTGAAAAAGTCATTGGATTGTACATATGGAAGCAATTGCTACCCCTGGCATCATAACCACAGTTGACATAGTTACATTCGGTCCCCTGGCCTTGCTGCAAACGATGACTACATTCCTGCTGGCGATTAAAAATATCAACAACAAAACACTGATCCATAGACTTTGCTTCTCCATCTGGATGACCAATGATACAAATAAGACCATTAAATGTTGGAGGGGCACATAACTGCACCAAGCCTGCTGGAAGGTTAGTGTGGTCACTTCTCTTCAACTGCAGGACAGCAAAATCAAGAGCTACATCTGATATTTCAAACCACTCTTCAAGTGAGAACCAGTCATTTTGATTAGGGTGTCTGTTTTCATACGAAAAAGTCACACGGGCCGACTGGCTAATTTTTCTTGCCCACTCCTTTTCTTCAACTCCTCCTCCAACTATCAACCGTATCACATGGTGGCAAGTTAGTATGTACCTATCGCACAAAACAAAGCAGGTAGCAACACCCTCCTTTTCATTGTCGCCCCACTCTATATAGCCAACAGACTCACTGTGCTCAGAATGGATCTTCAGCACCTTTATCCGAATGGAGTTTTTTATTGCCTTACCAAAAGCTTCTTTGTATATTCCAAGGGCATTACATTTCTTCTCGCCTTGATGTGAGCTATCTTTAAAGTAGTTGTTAATGATGTCACTTTGTTCCTTCAAATCAGGATACAAGTCTAAGAGATCAGTCTTAAAATAATGGAATGGATTGAGCTGCCTCTCACAAGAGGTCTGTGGGATCAGTTTATTATTTGGACCACTGCCAGATTTGGCACCTCTTTCAGTCTTCAGTTCCACCTCAAACATTTTGCCAGACAAACTATTAACAGAAAAAGTGTTAGGTATGGACCTTTTACCCTCCATCAGGTTCCACTCTTTTCCCTCTAGTTCAGGTATAAAGCGGCCATCTTTGCACAGGGCATCCTTTATGGTTTCCCCTTTGGGGGCAAAGATACACAGTTTGCAGCGTTCCTTAAGAAGCTGAGGACATCTAATTATTCTACAGCTCTGCGCTCTACTGGCTTCCAATTTATTTCCCCTCGGGTCAACATAGAACAAGATAAATGACTTCTCTTTGTTGTCATGCTGGCGAAATCCTGACTCACTAATGTTTCTATTTTTCCTACCTCCATAAAACTTCATATCAAACTGGGAATCATGAGGCACGCAACTCAGAGGCATCCCCAGATTAATAGCTCCGTTAATCCCTTTCTTGCCTATTAAGTAGGCCTGCTTGCCCCTAGCCTTCTCTTTGTCCATCCGAACTCTAACATCTTTAATAGCTTTGATAGCATTAAGCACATTGTCTTGGATTTTGCCTTTCACCACATGCTCCTTTCCATCATCTCCCAAATTCACAGTGAATTCTCGTTCTTCATCCATGGATTCATCATTGCTATGTGAAGGAAGTATTTTAGGATGATTTCCAATTTCTGCCATAGGACTTTTCATGGGTCTTCCCTCTTTGATGCTTGAACTTGCCTCAGAGTTCTCTTTACTGGGCTAATAAAAGACAAGAAGTTGAATAAATATTTTTCTTATGTCTTTTACTTTTTAAAAATCCTGTCTATATGCTATTCTATTGTATAATCCTATAAATGCCTTCTCCCAGGTAAAAGGGTTTAGGATTGGACCCTCAGTCATATTTGACTTCTAAAAAAATCAAAGCATTTCCTCTGCATCACTTCTTCTATTGTTATTTTTATAGCTATTATTTATTTATTAGATTTAAATCCCATCTTTTAATTTTAAGAACTCAAATTGGCTGACATCATTCTCCTCCTGCTGCTCTCAATCTTATTCCCACAACCACCTTGTGAAATAAGTTGGGCTGAGAGTCTGTGACTGGCCCAAAGTCACTCAGCTGGCTCCATGGCCGAGTGAGGACTAGAATCCTAATTGCCTGAGTCCCAGACTCACACTCTTAACTATTGCACCATACTGACTCTTTCCATTTCTGTACCACCCAATGCCGCCACGCTGGACAGTTCACAGCCATTCACAAAAAGCAAAATACAGATACAATAAAAATCTGCATAAAATTCTAATATACCAAATTTAAAACAGTTTCAATAGTGAAACAATTTCAATTACCACCTCCCAGGCCTACTACATCTGGGATGCCCTATCATCATGCTATTAAATGCCAATTGAGTGGTAGTCACCAAAAAGGCTTTCTCTCTTCTTCCCACCTTCTGAGCATCCCCAGCAAGACTCAGATGTACATTGTAGTGCATGAGTAAATTCAGGTTGGGAAAGGTGTTCCATTAGGTATTGCAATCCCAAGCCAGCTAAGGCTTTATAGGTTAACCCATAACCTTGAAGCATATAGGTAGCTACTGTAAGAGAGCCAGAACAAGCCTTATATGTTCAGAACTTCTGGTCTCATTTACCTGACTGCTGTATTTCATTCAAGCTGCAGCTTCTGAACAGTCTTCAAGGTCAGCCCCATTTAGCGGTTACATACAGCATAGCTTATTGAAGCTAGCGTATCCCTGATCAGACACAGGCATAGCTGGGTGACCATTCAAATCTGGCAGGAGGCATGTTGTGCCACTGAGGCCACCTATACCTCAAGTGACAAGTTGGCTCCAGGAGGGCCCTCAAGCTATGAACCTGCTCCTATGCAAGGAGTGCAACTCTGTCCAGAACAGGTTGAAAACTGTCCCCCCACCCACCCACCCCCATCCAATCTGGTTGGAAGACATCTCAGCCTTATCTGAATCATAGAATAATAGAGTTGGAAGGGGCCATGAAGGCCATCGGTCCAACTCCTGTTGTTGCAGGACACCACATTACACCATCCCACTCAGATGGCTGTCCAATTTCTTTTTGCATGTCTCTAGTGTGGGAGAGGCCACCACCTCTCTAGGCAGCTGGTTGTATTGCTCTAACAGTGAGGAAGCTTTTCCCGATGTCTAGCCTGAATGTGGGTTGTCACAACTTGAATTGATTATTCTGTGTCCTACACTCTGGTATCAGTGAGAAGAGATCTGAATTGAACTTCTACTTATTAGCCCTCATCCAATCCATTGTTGCAGCCAGGCACCAATTTAACGCATCCACAACTCCACAAAATAGAGATGAAAAGGAGAAATAAAACTGCATGCCATCAGCATACTGATAGTAATGCTCTCAAAAACATCAGATGGTCCTACTTACCAGTTTCACATAGAAATTGAATAGCATGGGGGATAAGATTGACCACTGAAGAACCCCATGATGGAAAATTCATAGGGCCAACATATCCTTCTGCAGCTGGCCCTCCAAGCAGGAACAGAACCACTGCAATGCAGTACCTACTTCTTCCAGCTCAGACAGTTGCCCCAGAAGGATAACCTCAAAAACCACAGAGAGATCCAGGAGTATTGACAGAGTAACACTCCCTGTCTCTCATACAGGGAGTCTGTTGAGCAACAGGGTGTATGGCATTCATACAAAATCTCCCTCCAATCTGTCCTGGTGGCCTGACACAAGATGCAAACACTCCAGACCCTTGGTCAGATGGACAGGGGTCTGCAGAAAGTGACAGAATTCTTATAGACCATGACATCCTGCCTCCTTGGCCTTCAAATACCTCTGGTCCTCTGATACACTAAGTGAAGTAGCCCAGTGGGCACACCTTGGAAGAGACTAACTCCCCCTGTTCACCCATCCAGATATTGGTTATACACACCAGATCAGCTGCTTAGATCATGGATAAAGAGAGGTCTTGCTCTGAAACAATTTGGAATTTAAAAGCAGTATCTGGAGACCCAAAAGCAGGCTGATAGCACAACCAGCAAACTGACGGTGTAAGGATAATTGGGACGCAGCATAGCTGTCTACTGTTTGAGCTGGATTCCCCTCATCTGGAGTTCTCCCTCTAGCCATCACTACATTGACTAGATCCCCACTTGGACACATATCCTCTCTTCCAGGTACATATTCAGACACTAAAAATGGAACCACTCTGCACCCGGACTCTAATTTCAAGGTCCTGCCCTATTGACAGGGGAAGCTGTATCATGTCTACAGGTCTTTGAGCCCTAGGGCATTGTTGGCTCCCACCTATTGTCATTACAGATTGTATATGTCAGTGGAACAAGGGTGGTGCCACCAGGGGGAAACATGGAGGAACTCAGGATGGTCATTAATTTTAAAAGTTCTTTTACTTGCTTAGTTCAGCTCTCTGACTTGTTTGCATGCAAGATACTCCAAACTCATTCAGAAATCAAATTTGATTTAAACTGAATGTAGGTAGTTGTCTGGAATATTTAATGTAAATATAATGCCTGCAAGTTTTGCGGGGATGCTCCGTGGAATCTCAGCAGCCAACCAAAACTTGTTTAATTGAAAGGGGAAAACTTATCCTTTTAAAATGCTTGCAAGGCTCCCATGGCTTTGAAAGCTGCTGAGTAAACAATGTAATAGACATAATCTTATTCAGAAGTGAGGCAACCAGGAGGAAAGCTGAAACTCATTCTGTTGCCCCAAATAACAACTTTCAATGGCAAGGGACCCTGCGAAGACAAAAGGGTTGGCAACCCCATTTCTCCATGTTGCTTCATGAGTTCCTGAACAGTCTGAAATAAATAGTTCATGTTTATAGACTATTTTAACTAACACCAAAAAGATTATAAACTCATTTTTCTATAGTAGCTTAATAAAGAGAACAGAAAGCAATGACCATTTTCAACCAAGGATAAGAGGAGGCTTTTAAAAACACATCTTTCTTGTTACTGCCAGCGAACAATTATATTAGTACATCATTCTTGCATAGGTTCCTTTAAAGCAGGGGTCTTCAGCCCCCAGTACATGGACCTGTACATGCAGTTTACAGTAGGGTTCGTGTTTGGCAGGGTGGCTGAGGCCATGGACCCCTTCGTCCCCTCCTGCACAGGGGCCAAAGCGTTGGCCACGTGGTGCTCCCTTCGCTGCAGGAGGGTCAAACGAGCAAAAGACACACGGTATTTCCATCCAGTCAGACTGGGTACCTGGCACCCTCCGGGATGGCAGTTCAAAGACCTGCACAACCTCGCCCGCCTGGGCAAATGAGAGCATGAACCCTACTGTAAACTGCACATGCAAAGGATCTAGGTTGCACGCTCATTATGAGAATCTAATGCCTGATGATCTGAGGTGGAGCTGAGGAAGTGAGTTGTATAATGGTTTTATTATATATTACAATGTAACAATAGAAATAAACTGGACAATAAATGTAATGCACTTGAATCATCCTGAAACCATCCCCCCTCCCCTGATCCATGGAAACATTGCCTTCCATGAAACCACTCCCTGGTGTTGAATAGGTTGGGGACTGCTGCTTTAAAGGACAAGGTGAGGCAATCCCTCTTCAGAATATGCCAGGGCAGTACCTTCAAAAAACGAATGATACTTCCATCACTGCTCTTTCTTTTAGCAGAACACTTCTTATTGCCACGAGGAGGGGTCACAAGGTGTTTCTTCTTGCAAAGACGTTGGTCCATTCTGACTTAAGCAGTTGTAACTGAGGGCAAAATAAATTGGCAAGTTCAGAAATGATCAGGTGATAATGAGCAGCTTGCCTTATGTTGAGGTCCTCTTCTCATGTAGACTAAAATATCCCCCCACCATTCCTTCTCCTCACCTTTCAACAGGAAAGGGTGATCAGAGTGCTGTTGTGCTCCCAGAAGATCTGACAGCTTTCACTACAGCACCTCTAAGGAAGGTTTATAAGGAAATTGGTATTAGCATATTGCATTTACTAATAAGAGAAAAGTCAAGTGTTCTGTAATATATGTAAAGAGAAAATCTTTTGTCACTTACCAAAAAAATCATTCACTCAACCTGTTCCTCAAAAGCCTCTTACACAGCACTCCTGCACCACAGATTGGTTCTTCAGCAATGGCACTAATCAATAGTTACTGAATCCCTATCACACAGGGGTATTACTTCCCCCACTCCAAAAAACAAAACAAAAACCACTGAGCAAGTAATTTCTTCATGTCAGCTTCAGGAGTGTCAGAATTCTATCCTGAGTTGCATCTTTCAGCAACAAGGTCAGAATCTCAGAATTGTAAATCCGCCCCCCTCCCCATTTCGTTAAGCTGTCTTTTAACACATTACAGTCCCTGCTTTAATAAAGATTGTTGTATTGTCTATTTAGTTTTAAAAATCTATTAATTGTATTTATTTTAGAAATAACTTTATACAATGGTAATGCAACAGAGCCATTCCTTGCTAAATCAACAAATGAGGATTTATGGATGTTATTGAAATTTTGTAAAGTGATTACATTTGTTAGGCAGCGCTCTTCTACCTGTGGAGGTAAGGAGATCCAAAGGTAAATGGAGGTTTGGGCTGCGGAGTCATCAGTATGCTGATGACACCCAGCTCTACCTCTTTTTCAACCAATCCAGATGAGGCAGTGGCTGTACTGAACCGGTGCCTGGCCAAGGTAATGGGCTGGATGAGGGCCCGTAAACTGAAACTCAATCCAGACAAGATGGAAGTCCTGCTGGTGGGTGGATCGGGCTCCTGGGTAAGTGACTTGGGCTTTGCCCTGGACAGAGTTGCACTCCCTCTGAAGGACAGTGTCTGCAGCTTGGGAGTGCTCCTTGACCCAGAGCTGTCCTTGGAAGCTCAAGTGACTGCGGTGGCGAGGAGCGCTTTCCTTCAGCTTCGGCTAATCCATCAGCTGCATCCCTACCTGGAGGAAGATTGCCTAGTGACAGTGACACATGCATTGGTTACTTCCCAGTTGGATTTCTGCAACGCGCTCTATGTGGGACTGCCCTTGAAGACAGTCCGGATACTTCAGATGATGCAAAACAGAGTGGCCAGGTTGCTGACAGGGACTGAGTGTTATTCTCATATAACCCCAGTCCTCTATCAGCTTCACTGGCTTCCCATCGAAGTCCTGGCTCAATTCAAGGTGCTGGTCATTACCTATAAAGCCCTTAATGGCTTGGGACCTGGATACCTAAAGGAAAGCCTTCTTCCATATTTGCCTGCCCACCCCCTGAGATCGGCAGCAGAGGCCCTTCTCCGGAAACCCTCCATGAAAGATATTAGGAGGGTGAGTACCCGGAGGAAGGCCTTCTCTGCAGTGGCGCCCCACCTATGGAATGCGCTCCCCAGAGAGGTCCGCCTGGCGCCATCGTTATTTGTTTTTCGGCGCCAGGCTAAGACTTTTTTATTTCAACAATATTTTAATAAGTTTTAATATCATGACTTATATGTTTTATTGCAGCCAGTGTGGGTTGATAATTTTATCTATGTTATATTTTATTGCATTTTATCTATGTGAGCCGTCCTGAGGCTTTTGCAACAGGACGGCATATAAATACTTTAAATAAATAAATGGACCACCTTATCCAAATAGCTTCCTGGCTTGCACTGACATAGAAGAAAGGAAGAATAACCATTTCCTTTCTTCCATTTTGGGGTTTCTTTTGCCTTATTTCTGTTTCCCTCCCATTGAGAGCAAAGGCAGGAAGACTAACTATGTCAGCTCTAGGGCTCATGAAGCTCTGTTCTAGGAGCATGCTGGGATGCAGGAGTGTAGCAACTGCACGACCTCTCCTGACACACCTTTCTGAAACACCGACTGCTCACCTTTCTGCAGCCTCATGGAGAAGTCTTGAAAGGTCAGATCTCCAAGAGCTGACCACTCTCTCCACCTGGGATGTCTTGCTGGGGACCACAGGATTGCAGCCAACATGCATCTACAGTAATGGGGGCGGGGGTTCCCCATAAAATATTGCTCTTTCTGTTTGCCATACAACAGGAGTGTCCAACGTGTGGCCCAACGTAAAATCATAAACTTACTTCAAACAATGAGATCTTTTTGTAATTTTTGGGTGACTCAATCACGCAGTTCTTGGGTGTGAACTTTGCAGATGACAACGTTGCACCACAACGTCACGTAAAATAAATGTACTTTTGCTCTTGCTATTTGTATGCAAGGTGATGACAGATATCTTGAAAATTATCTCAGGTCTTTGTTTGGGCTCATTGGCTTTTGTTAGTGCTTGTGAATGTAATGTGTGACCCAAGACCATTTTTATTCTTCTGGTGTGGTCCAGAGATGCCAAAAGGTTGGACAATGCCATGCAAAGAAATGTATGCTACCTGCAACAGCCATTGAGGGCTTTTTAAAACTGAATATTATATGTCAAAATTAGCAGAAATATAGCAGTAACTCACAGCCAAACATGCAGTATTTTTTTAAGGGCAGGGAAAATGGGCAGAAGCTTTTTGTACAACAGAATCTGTAGTGGGTTAACTTCAAAGTAATGCCTTTGGTGAAACATGAAAGCATGGTTAGGATATGCTTATCTACTGCCAGCAAAAATCATCTTGATACTCCAAACCATTATTTGCAATACCATGTTTACTATATAGCAACATTAGGAGTCCTCTGCTTCCATACTTACCATATTATACTACTAATTATACAGGAAAATAATATAGCAATAACAATAAAAGATTATGTCTGTCTGTCAGTACCATACTTCTAAGTCTAGAAAACCTACATCCCTGAAACTTGGCATTCATACTAAGGTGGTCTGAGGGGTGAAAAACTCAGAGTGCTTTTGCTTTTAAAACACAATTAATTTTAATTCATGTTAATATGCTTAGGTGATTCAAGGCTGCAATAATATCTTCAATCACTGGGGGCAGTTTCCTTAACTAGCGCATAGTTTTGCAATTCACGGTTTGAAGGCAGGGGAGATGAGTAGGCTGAAGGACAGTTGAATTTCCGCTCTTTCCTGCTGTGTGGCAGCCCCCACCCCTCCACTTGAGACTGAACAAACTTTTAAGGTGCACCATGGCAGGGGTCATGGCTAGCGATGTGGACACCTGCTGACAGGCCCGCGCTGCCCAGGGCTCTCCGCTTCGCCTCACCTGGCGTCCTGCAAGCCCTGGCGCTGCTGGGCGACAAGCAGCCGCTTCGAGGAGCGCAGGGAGGCGCCCCTGCAGCCCACCCGCCATTTCCGGGGCTGCCCTTGGGGCGGGGCGAGCTCGCTCGCTCCCTTTTCCAGGAGATGCAGCCGAGGCGGTGCTCTTTGCCATCTGCCCTTCTGCGCTCGCTTGAGCAATCCCTCTCCCTTCTCTCTTTTCTTTCTTTGGAGGGAGGCAGAGGAAATAGCATTGTAAGGCGCCGAGGGTTTTTACTGTAAATGCTTATTATGGTACTTGTTTTACTATGTCACCGTGGGTCCGTGGGGAGCTACAGGGCACTCCCATTACTGCGGTCATGAGCAGGGAAAGGTATGATGGCGGGAGATCAACTAGCCAACAAAAGGCGCGGGGGGGGGGGGTGGTCAGATGTCTGACTGCGATCCCCTCTTCTGCTTCTTCCTTCAACCGACCAATGCCAGTCACACTGCCTACCAGCTGAAGTCTGGGCCTGATTTTAGCTGGGAAGGACAACATAAAAAGACCTACATGATTTAGGGCCTGGATATGTAAAGGATTTTCTCCTTCCATATGAACCTGCTCAAACCTTAAGATCATCTGTGGAGGTCCTTCTCCAAGAGCACCCCTTGAAAGGGGTAAGGAGGGCTGTTCCCAGAAGAGACTTTTCTGCTACAGCACCCCAATAATGGAACTTACTTTTTAGAGAGGTGTACCTGGTGCTGATGCTTTATTCCAGCACCAGGCCAAAAGTCTTACATGCTTAGTTAGTTGTTAAATAGCTTTTTATACTATTGTATTTAATACCAAATGGAGTTTTTAATTGTTTTGTTGTTTAACTGTTTTTAACTTCTGTAAACCATCTTGAGATTCTTTCAAATTGATGGTATAAGATAGCCTTAAGTAAATAAATAGCAACAAATTTTCCTAGTTTGACAGCTGCATAAGATTACTTGTAGCCTTCCCTGTATCAATCAAGTCCATTAACTAGCACTTTGAATGTTATAGATCAAGGAATGTGAATAAAATACCTGGGCAGAACAGAAAGACAACTACTAGAAAACCATAGGACTATTTGGATTCACAGGCCCAATGTTGGAAACAGTTCTGACCCTGATAGCTGGGGATTCATGCTCAGATTTTCCTTGCAGCCGACATGGCAAGAACTGTGCCAGCTTATCTGAAGTTTAAATGTGACCTCAAGTAAGGGGTTTACAGAGTGTTCCAGTTGGCAGGGACAGAGGAGACTGGCACTGCCAGGACACCTCACTTTGCAGAGTAAGATTTGCCTCAATCCTTCTGTATAGGATGTCCATATTCTTCCAAGTTCAGAGTGTTACAGACAGCCTCATCAGATTGCACTCCATATTATATTAATCAGGTGAATCATTCATTTTTTAAAAACATTGCAGTGGTAAAAGTACTAGAAAATATCTGCAGACATTTCAATAGTTTTGCAATATAAACTGTTTTAAGTTAGTTCTGATTTTGTTTCCAAAAGCATTTTACTTAACTAAGCATTGATTTAAAGAAGTACGAAGTTATAAGATGCACAACCTTATCCTTATGTGTCAAAAACTGCATATACTCATACATCTTAAATTGCCCCCCCCACACACACACACACTTCAAATATAAAAGCACCTTATGCACAATTTAATTTGGGGGCAAGTATGGGTAATTTTTCTGCTTTTCTGAAACTTAGTTCACATTATATGTATTTGAGAATTCATTGTTGTTACATGCCATCATGTCTTCTCCAACTTAAGGCAGTCCTACACATGAATGGCCTCCAAAATGTCTTGTCCTTGATAGCCCTGCTC